TTAGCTATCTTGGTTTGAATTAAGAGTAGACACCATGCTTTAATTCGAATTGAACTATGAATAGGAAGAGTATGTATGGACATTCGACAACAGGGATTAGATACATGCTTGGTTGTTTAAATTGTTCTTCTATGCTTAATGGGTTCCTAATGCTTAATTTTAGGTTAGACAACAAATGATCAAATTAGGGAATTAGGAACACAAGGTTATGACCACACATCATGGCTTAATCATACTTTAGCTAGAATCAATCCATTAATCTAAATTGAACTTGGGAACTTATTTGCTTGAGTTACTTTCTTATTTTCTTCCTTCTTTCATGTTCTTTGTTTTTGTTTTTGTTTTGTGTAGGAAAACTGAATTGGATCATTCAATCACCACTCCCTGTGGAATCGACCTCGCACTTACATACGCTAAACTACCAACGGCTCGTGCACTTGCGAGTATCACAAGTTGAGGATGCAACTGAATCCATTTTGGTGCAGCTGTATCTACACAACACGTCACTTTTTAATTTGCAAGGGATGCTGATGTGGAAAACTTATCCTTGAACCAAACGGGCCCTTATATCATTATCATATATAGTTTCCTAAAATAAAAAAAATCCCCTTAACGAAATAGAAGAAATGTTAGCTGATGTAGAACAGATGGTGGAAGCAATTGAAGAGGAGCTAGAGTGAGCAAAGGCAAATCGGGTAAGCTGCACATTTGGGCTCCGAGCTCAGACTTAGGCCCATGACCCGTTGATTCGAAGAGAACGGCATCATGAGTAAAACTTATTGCTTTGCCATGATGTATGGGCTTTTTCGGGCATCCGAGATCGTTTACTATCTCGAAATTCAGTTTTAAAGTTTTTACAATTTTTGGAAACATTGTTATTTTCCTATTTTAATTCCTTTGTTATTCCTAGGGTTTCTAAGAGTATTTAAACATACTTTACCTGTGGTTAGGGTTATGTTTTTATTTCCAGTTTATCAAATAAACCTGAGGTTCTCTGATATTTCCTGGTGGATTCCAGAGTTACATGTTTTAGGCTAAGGTTTTAGCTGATCAATTGTCATGCTACGTCAGTTGGCATCAGAGCAGGTATGGCCTGCCTGGTGAACAACCAAGATGAAGGTGATAGGACTTGTGGCACAGGGGAAGTTGTTACTCGTGCCAAGTTTGAGACCCTCTTTGCGGCAGTGGAGGAGGTTTGGCGTTTATTGTTGGGCATGGGAAACCAAAACCCTCCACTAAGCCTAAGGAAAGTGCTCGCATACAATGTCCTGTGTTGAGAGTGACAACAAGTTTGAAGAAGAACTACAGGAACAGCCCCCGA